AACATCATATCCACCACCTCCCTCTTCTGAGGCATCGTTGTGTCTTCTTATAAACTGCATATCTGCATGCCACAGTGAAATGCTACATACCAGTAGCCTATTTATATGATATCCTAGTGATTAGTTCACATTAAAAACACCACTTAGTAACCCGGGAGGAAGTGACGGAACAGAGTCTCGCACCCGAGCTCTCCAGGCGGGAAGCAAGCACTCTACCATCTTAGCCACTGAGAACTCACAACACTGCATGCTATTATCTACTGTGAATTTGTGAATTTAGAAAGTACCTGTAGCTAATATCATACTGTTGGCAGCTCCGCTTGATTTTAAGAATATGCCTATTCCAACTATACACAGGAAAAATTTGGCTTGCAGCTAACTTAACGATAAGACCATTTCTCGGACACTGAGCCTGAAAAAATCTTGTTTTGACCACTTCGAGATACACATGTCTCGTTTTTGTAGTTCTAACGACTTTTTGACCTATATTTTTTGGTAAAGTTGTGGACGAGGATAAAATAGACCTAATTAATCCAAAATACATAAGGCATACCAGAAAAAATACTTATTTTTCAGTATTTGAAAATTCAAGTATGCAAATCTGAAGTAAATAGTAGCACGGTTGCTGAGGCTTCATCTGTTTTCTCAAACTTACCTCGTCGCGCTTCCGCGCGACTCGATTCTTTTTCAATTCTTTTGGAGTATTACTTTCACTTGGGGCTGTTTTGTTTGGAATTGATAGACAGATATATATCTATATAACAGGGTGATTCTTATTTTTTACTGCGGATTTATTTGTCACATTATTACCCAATCACATCTCTTCACACCATTAAAAAATACATAATTTATGTCAAAGAAATACGCACGTTTACAACTTCACACGTGATTCCAAAGACATGAATTTCCTAATTAAATTATGTGGACAAAAACATTTTCAGCTATACGTTATTTATTTTACTGCTTCAGTAAGTGTTTTTTGAATTTTTAAACTATAAATCTACGTAACATATTGTTTACAGTTCATCCGCATGTTTTCCGCCTCCAAGTAATACAGTTGAAAGATAGTACTTGTATCGACTCGAGAATTTAAAATTTTTAAGGTATACATTTTCATTTGGGGATATAAAAAAGATACTTTATAGGGTATTGTTATAAAACAATCCACAATATTAAATAACAGTCACCCTACTATACATATTTACATGATTTTCATGCATAAAAAATTTTTAAATATAGGTACAGTGATTTGAATTCCATCACTACTTACTTAAAAATTTGCTTATGTGGGGCCTTTTAGTCACATCATCGTTCAAATCATGGTGAAAAGCTTCCGTAAAATTGTTTTTACGGTCCTCGGGCAAGTTGAAAACTGAGAAATATTGAGCTCCACATTTCTGCAACCATTCTTTTTGAAAGTACAACAGAAATTGATGAAAATAACCCCTCTACTGCTCGTCACATACAGCCTTGATACCATTAAATGTTTCCTAAATTCTTGTTTCTGGCAACAGTGCTAGAGCTGTTAGTTATTTCAGAATAACAAATATTTCAGGATGATTTGCACCTTTTATCTTTGGAGTTATGATTTTCACCTTTTCGGCTTTTTGAATCAATGCCTGAACAAAATTATCAGGTTATAACAAATGAGATGCAGTATTATCCGAGATGAGACGCGAATAGTAGCACCGAAGAGCCTGTGCAACAATAAATGAAGTGGCTAATGTTTCAACTAAAACCTGTCGTACTTGATGTGTTCAAAAACAAGAGTGCCAATGTAGCGCCATTTCTTTAAGTGAAAAAGCATAATGTTAGTGAGCCTCAAGGGAGTGAGCGGACCGGACAATGTGTTTACTTACGGTTTAGATCAAATATGGCGAGCACAGCAGCTAATGGTGCTACTTATTGCCATATTGATCTAAACTGGAAGTCATGGGTACATATTCCTATCACTCCTTTGAGGATGGCTAACCGATGTGGGCTTAGGGCATGGGGTAAAATATTGGACAGCCACTCAGGTATTTCGTCCTGGAGCTGTTGGTGGACTCGTCAGTAAGGCATACCCAACAGCTCCTACCTTAGACACCTACTTGGGGTTACCACACTAAACTTGAACTTCCTTATATACTAACCGATGGATAATTCTAACACTTGTGGATAAGAACCAGGAAGACGAGACACACCTAGCAGACAGTTAGCAAAATATCATCTAGCGATACCAGAGTCCCCCACATCGGAAAGTTACCTGCAACCCGGATGACCAAGATCACTGTTTCATCTTTAACGAAAAAATATACAGAGAGGCTGGTATCGATATCGAATCAGCCGATCACATTCAAAAAAGGGCGAGGGGCAGTAGATTTTTAATTATTGGTTGAACGTAAAGCGTTACCTTGACAACAGAAAAGTTACTTTCCAGTTGCACCGTCTTCTTTATTGGTTTGCAATTTTTTTCTCTCGGTGCCGTAATCTTTATTTTGTTTATTACTTACTTTTTTTTGACCTGCCATCAAGAAGCGTGCAGTATCTTCGGCTCTCTTCTTTGGCTTTTAAGGTTGACTTTCGCTGTGGACGCCTTTTTGGTTCTGTTCTTCACGTATTTACTAGCCTCCTCGCGGCTGTTACCTTTTTTTTACGTGCAAGTTCTTCAAGGCAAAGAGAAGACGAGACACGATAGACGCATCATTGGCGCAGTAAAAGGGTGAGACGTGAATATTTAAAAAATTTTCACGAGTTCAATCTTTTTTGGAACATTAGTTCCCACGAGAATTCGCGCTTGCGCACTTCGTAAGGGCGACGGCCCGATTCGGAGCTTTTTTCTCAGCTGAACATCCAGGTTTGATCCACCTGCATTAGACGTTNTATTATTATTATTTGTTGTTTTTATAATGTTTATCAACATTTCTGCAAAATTGAGTTTACAGAATCGTATGTGTTTTCTTTAGTATTTCTAGATATCAATGACAATTACGATAACGAACCAATAAAGTTTCAGTTTTTAATGGAGTTCTCTGACTAAATCTTTCGTTACAAATACATTTTTGTACGATACAATTTTCAAGTACTGCATACACATAAGGTGGTACATAAATGATATATTTCACTATCATGAAGTTACCTTTTTACTTAGATTCATGAATTTAACTACAAACAAGTTTGTTACATCACATTCATACTTTTTTAAAATAATTTATCAAGTTAAAGATAAATATAATTAAGTTATAGTAAAAAGAAAATTAAAAAAAGTTCAACAATACAGTGCAATATCATGATGTTCAATATTTTTTCATGTTTAATGTTCGTTCTACTCTGTCTTCTTCACTATCTTCATCATTTTCTTCGACATTTTTTTTGTTAATTTTTTTCATTTCCCTCTAATGATTTATATATGATTAACTTCATCGTGTTCATTCTTTATTTTTTGATGTGGTAGGTATTCTATAGCATTATTAATATTATTAGATGTTGGCATGAGGGCTGGTTCACGATTTTTTAGTTATTTTTTTGATTCATCTGATAACTTACGAAAATACTTTCTTTTCTTGGAACTACCATTAAGATGGTTATCAATGTGTTCTCTAAAATTAAGTATTTGTATCCCAAGATTTTTTTTCAGTAATTTTATTTTTACGCTACACACGCAGGACATACAATCTCACACATAACTTGATTATTATCAGTCTTCGCTATTGTAAGACTTACCGAATCTAAACTTTGTACTTCAATTCTTTTGATTTCTTTTTCATTTTTTCAATTGCTATTTTTTCAGCCTGTAGTTTTAAATAAGCATCTTGTCGAAACAGTTTTTTCACACAGATTTGAACCTTGGTTAGATTGATGTCATCTTGTCGTCTTTGACTTAGCTTATTTTTTTTCACTTTCCCTAAACGAAAATACAATATACAAATGTGCTCTAAATTTAGACAAATTTACTTGTTATGTATCATGACATGACATATCCTGCTGCAGAATTGTCCGTAACATCATCAGGCTCTTCCGAAACGAAGAACACTTCTCAATCTTGAGTGAGGTGATGAGGAGCGTGAACTGCTAATTAAGTATTTTTAGTAAATATGAAGAGCTGCAGTAATATTTGATTGCATTGCTTACTCAAAAAAAAGAATATCTACCCTTTCTCTTCCATTTTTGCTAATTCCAAATTTTATTATTCTAAGCACGGCCTTGTTTTTGGATCCTCGCTATCCTTATTTTGAAAACAGCAGCTAAGTACTCAGTAATTGATAAACTCCTGGAGCTCAAGAAACTCCTAACACAATCTAGGTGAGAGAACTGTTAAGATTGCGCATACGAGTGATCATTCATTGACCTTTCATGAGCCAATCGCTAAGAGAGTTATGAGCGAAATCCAAAAGTATCTTGTATGATGGGTTAATTCAGACATAATTAATAGTAATTTGTGGTTGCAGACTAACGAATTTCAATTCCCTTTTTTGACAGAATAGTATGCAAATAATTACTGGGTAAAAAAACTAAGGGAGTAGCTTTGAAAATAGTCAGCATCGGTTCTATTTTTAGTTTGGTTAGTAATTATATTATTGGTTTATCCAGTAGCTCGATTTCGTAAGGGTAGTTTATACAACATTTTGTAGGGGTGAATTTGGATGTTGCTGACTTTTCGTAGTATTTGATAACACGTAAATTTTTATTTAGTGGGGTCTGTATGAAAAAAAAAAAAAAAAATAAACGGTATACGTACGAAAAATTGAAATATTTTATACAGTAAAATATCATGAAAAGTATTTTCAAGCACATGACAACACATCTTCTTTATGCCTGTTTAGTAATGGATAAAAAAAACTCAGTATTTTATACAACTTATATAAAATGTATTTTCTTATTATCCTTGCAAATATGCCAACATTTCCTGCTAAAGAGGATCAAAAATAAATAAATAAAAACATTCGTTTTCATACACACATAGCGTAACTTGTAACTTAAATAGTAATTTATTCATATTACTGCTATACACTTTCTGAGGGATTTAAATTCTCAAAGCTCTATGTCTTAAAATCTTGGCAACTCGGAAAATTCTTTGGTGTTTTTGGAAAGTCCTCGTGATCACCAACTTTGAAAACTAATGCCATGCCATTGCTTGAGTGTGGGTCGAAGTGACAGTGAAAGAACCAGTAACCTTGAATATCCAGAAAAAGCTCTTATGTCAAATCTAGTCTACATCAATGTAATTACTTGACAAAAATGATAATGATAAAATAAAAACAATTCAAGCTACGCTTACCCGGATTGTCTGCAACCCATCGTATTATGGTGTATCCACCACTAGGAACGATGACAGTATCCTTGAGTGGCGCACCTTTCAGTTTCCTAGAAATTTTTCCCGCGCGATCAAGCTCCTTAACTCGATCCACACTTATCGTATCCCCCAGCTTTTCCATGGCAACTACGCGAAAGTGCACCCCATGTAAGTGTATCGGATGGTTTATGCTAAATCCTCCGTTGTCGATCATAACAAGCTCTACAACTGAGTTCAGCTGGACTTGTAGAACATGGGTGCAGATACAGTGCTGTTCGTTGCAGTTTTGTACACTGCTGGCATTGCAGAGCTGGCCCGGCTTGATTAGGTCGTGTTGAGTTTGCAGTGGATAGCGCGGCATCCGAAAGCTTATTCGATTAAGTTGAAGAGTACGCTGACGGTGAAGTTGATTTACTAAAAGAGTTAGTGTCCTTATTGAAAACGCTATGAAACGGGATATAGTGACTATGTTTATTAATAATTTTGGCTGCGATTAAATCCCACTAAGGATTATGCATGAACAATATTCCATAGCGTGAGCGTAAAGTGTTACTTATCTAATAGCACACAATGTTTCAAATAAGTTGTTAACAAATTTAAAAAATATTATTTCGGAAGTCAAACAAATGTTGTATGAAAGTTATGAAAACAGCGCAATTAAAAAAAAAAAAAAAAAATCGTACCAGATTCCTTATGAATTTACTTTGGTGTAAATTGAGTGTTCAAATATTACCAGCTACATTACAGCACCTAAAGTGGGGGTCTAAGCCATTTCATTACAATTGTGAGTGAAATTAATGATTGAAATAGAAAATATGTGTATTTTGATTTTAACTCTTTAGTATATTAATTTGGTATCGAAAAGGGCATGGATGGTTTTAAAGAGTGCCGTTATATAAAAGTGCCGCCATCTATATATGCGCTAATTGATACGATGATGAATGTATTGATATTGCTTGTACACCTCTTAGAGTCATTTGAAATTTGAAATTAATGAACTATGATGAAATTTTGACCGTAACATTATTTGATAAGCTAACCATTTGAACAGGAACTAAATAATGCATACTAAATTCTAGAGTATATTGTATATTGTATTAAGATTCCAGCACGGTTTTTACGTATTCTATATCCCTAATCTCTATAACTTTTCGTGTTTTTTCCCGTAATTAACATCCTTTTTCTTCAAGTATGCGAGTCTTTCGTGCGGGCCCCTAGAAAAATTCCCCTGAGACGACTCGGTCATCCATCCTGGGTACTGTTTACAGGATTCAGCAATTGTCTCAAGCACACCCCCGATATTATTAAGTTTAATGGAAAGATATTTTTCCAATAAACCATTTAACTCGCTGTACCGACATTTTTATAACCGTTAGTGACTTTTTACCCGACGAGCTGGCTAGACGTTGGCTTTCCTTAAAAAAGTAAGCCCCTAGAGGTCCAGACATTACCAGAAAAATCGACTTTTTGTTTTAAAAACCAGATAAGTGGTGTTTCGGCATCTTAGGTACTTATCTTATCAGAAAAGACCGAGAAAAAAATCTCGATTTTCGATGGGACGTCGTTTTTAAGTATTTTTTAATGATTTTAAAATTTGTTGAAAATTTCAAGAGAGTTAAGTATCATATTCCCATTAACATTATAATGATGAGAATTAAAACCAAAGAGTTTACAAGTACTCAATTGCATTACCATGAGAACTAAAAAATACCTTGATAGTAGCCGTATAGATCTCTTCGATGGTAATCATCGTTGTCCATTTCGTAGAAATCATAGGAAATGTAGATCTGGTGATCGGGGTCACGTGAGATCGACAAATCGTCAGGCTCTGCAGAATTAAGCGAAGCAATGCAGTAGGAACCAGGTGTTTCCATTCCTTGATTATAGGGATTCAGTTCCTAAAAAATTTTATTGGAAGTAAAATAATGAACTAAACTCATTGATTAAAAAAAAGAGATAATAATTGATTTTTACGCGTATGTTAGTGGTGAACAGTCCGGTGCTTAATCTTGCCTGGGCTGTAGGTACATTCATGAGTTTAAAATCTGGCGCGCCCTTGTAGTGCAAGACCGCGACCTGATGGCAACCGAGTCTCTCACAAACAATGTCACCTACGAAGTACATCAAGTAGTTGTCGATTTCTTGATTCGCCTCCACCACAAAATCGTACCTCTCACCAGAAAGCGATCGAATCGAATCAACTGCGAAAATACATTATGTATAATAGTTGTAACTAACTCCTTATTATTTTCTCAATACATACATTATTTTATCCACCCCCCCATACATATTGGTATATTCATATATATCTAATTTGTAAATGCAAATTTTTTAAGTTACAGTAATGTAAACACATACGATATACCTTCGATTGGTTCAATGTCAGCACCATCGACACTTATGGCTAGCATAGTGTGATTGTTAATCGATAGATGAACCGGACAGTCCTGGACGACCAAGTTGGCCATTCTAAATCTGTATCTTTTACCCTGTGTACAAGTAGCAAAGCTACACTAATTGAAAGGCAAAGAGATTTCTTAAAAAAAAAAAAAAAAAATACCTGCTCGACTTCAAAAACGGCTAATGGCAGTAGCTCTGATCTGTTGTCATTGAAGCGTCCAAAACCATTGACGAGGATGGTATGTGGGTCTTGAGCACGGCTGTTCTGGTACTCGAGCACGTAAGCTTCAGAGCCGGAGGTGCTCGTCCAATCATTAACTACGATCATGTGCTCATCCACATCGTACAATCGGCTTGCTGGCTCGGTCTCACGGGACTCGCGAACCACGAGACCACCAAAGAGACCGTCTGCTCTTTGATCACCTAAAATGCTTATCACACCGTTCACAAACTTCGTAAAAGGTTTTTTGTTTCACGTTAACAAGTACACATAGACTTATAAGTGAAAAACTCACCGCTATGAGAGTGGTAGAGGTAAGTGCCAGGTTTGTCGACAACAAAGTTGTAGCTGAATGTCTGTCCAGGTAAAATGGGACACTGAGTAACGTACGGTACGCCGTCCATGAAGGGAGTGCCCTTTTGATGTATTCCGTGCCAGTGTATGGACGTGGTGTCGGTTGGCATTTCATTGGTAACGTCTACTATGATGCGATCGCCTTTACAAACCTGATGACGTGCATTAAGATAAAAACAAAACAAGTGGTTGTAAATTTAGGAAACAAATTTGTTTCTCGTTCGAGATAAGACCACAAAAAAGTGTTATTATAAAATCCCATTTTATCTCATCCCACTTCTTATCTCACTAATATATAAACCAAAGTCCCAATATCCGTTTTAATTGCTAACCGCGAAAACTACTCAACTGATTTCACTGAAATTTTGCGTACCTACTGATTTTTCACACTTCCTAGATAGTTTAATCGTACGGTTTTTTCTCGAAAAATTAATAATAATAGCAATGAACAAGCTCAAAGTTTTGCAAATAACGATAGATTTGCGCTTTAGTTCAGTAGGATACGCTAGATAGCGTCAAAGTAAAATGAAAGCTACCTGCAATCAACTGGCATATGTAAGAAAATACAAAGCCAATAAACTAACTTAAACTTAAACCTGCAATCAAAATCGGTAAGTCTGGTGATTATGTTCCCGGAAAAAAGATCGAGAACCATAGTCATTCACTGGTTGTAAGTAGGGGTAAACGAGGGTATTATTGCGGTTGCTCCAGTTATCGTGATACTCTCGAATAATGCGTATATTTTAATTGAACTGATGAGTTATGGTGAGTAAACACTTAAAATCATTAAATTCAGTTATAGACTATCTAATTCGTTGAATTTTAGTTTTAGAACTTTACATTTATATAACAAAGAATCATGTCTGCAATAACTGGTACACACGTAACCTTTTTTACTATGATGGTATTATTACGGATACGCCGCCGCCGTTGATCTAGCATTAAAATTGACCACAATAATACATACAGGCTCGCAGTAATACCAGCATTGGCAGCTGAACTTTCAAACCACTTTTTAAATCAATATTCATGAGTTTAGACATTTATAAAAGCGGAATTCAGTAGTTTTTGAGTCCAACATTGATGAAAAAAAATATATTTATTACAACAATTCGAGGAACTGAATTTCTTAGATAAACGTTAAAAGCTAACCACTAAAAAAAATGCAATTTCCTCGTTTACCCTTGCGTCAAGAACAGAGCTGTTAGTCGTTAAATGCATGATGAGTAGCAGGTATGAACTCCATTTTTTCCTACCGAAAATTCAACAAACATCCAAAGATCATAACTAACACTTGAGGTAGAAAATTGTAGTTTTCTCCACAAAAGCAGGACCCGAGGATTTGTAGAGGGTTATTGATTGGTTAAGCTATTCATTTCGTTTGATTTTTTTTCACAAAACATCCAGCACTACTAACCAACAGTGTAACGAGTAGCTAAATTTATGCAAAAAATTAAAATTTGGCATCTAAGACACGACTACTAATTATAAATATTTTATTACAGAAATGTAAAGCACAAGTACTTAAACTTATACTTTAACTTATCACAGTCGCAATCCATGTTTTTATTTTTTCCAATCTTGTAGTACACGTAATAACATCAAACAAAATTTATTACTGTACACTAACATAATACACACTCAAATCACTGATTCATTTGATCAAGTCACTCTTAGTAACCTTTTTTAAATTTATTAAAAAATTTTCCTATAAGGCTCCATGCATTCTGGCGATCTTAGCGAGGGGCAATTTCTCTCACTCGACGGCGCCACCTGACATAGGTGCATAGTGAATAGATTGAAGGATGATTTGTACCATTAAAAGTGCCACTCATCAAAAGTTGTAGCACTTTAAAGTAAAGTAAGATATTTTTAGCAAATTAATATTCATAATATTCAATTTTCAGCGGTTTTTATTACTCTTTTTTTTTACCACTGGAACTTTTGATTTGTGACACGAAATAAAACAATATTTAATAGTTTTCTTACACTGAGAGGAAAAAATGATAAAAAAATTTACTGTGCTAGAAAAGTAATTTGGTATCATTTCGCTGCCTAGGGACTTTTTACTTTTGCCAACCTAATTCATACCATATTCTGGACAGTAATTTCTATTGTACAAAAAGTAAAAATGACTGTACTTACAACAAAAACTACTGTTCTAAACATTAAAAATCATTGTTCAAATAGTAAAAAGTCTCCAGACGAACACTACCAGATTACCATTTTAGCACAGTAATTTTTATCATTTTTTTCCTCTCAGTGTACCATGGATGCAAAATTTTCGACCACGCGCGGAAAAGTACTCCCCTGTTTTATGGGCACTAAGTACGATTTTGTACCCTCGGAAATAAAGGTGTCGTTCGCACCTTAGACACAAACCTACAAAAACCCGCCCTTCGAGAGGGAATTTCTTACTTTGCGCCCCTGATGAAAATATAGTAGTTTTCGTCAGAGAAGCGCCACCGGGGCTCTTCCGAGGTCCGAGGGACCGTAGGGTAGTCCCGATTGGACGGCGCTTATGCACCGAACACTATTTGACTCACCGAGTGCGGAATAAACGTCCAAACATCCCTAAAAACGCCACAAAGTAGGCAAAAAACCATTTTTGAAGTCATTATAAGCCATTCAAAGCGGGATCACTTAAATACGCATAGATTCTCACTGTAAAGACCACGCAACTACTCTAATACTAGATTTAAATTTGGCCTAACACTTAAATTAGACGATTTCTACATTATTACACTTTTTGCTTTGGTTGAATCAACTTCTGTGAAATAGCCATTGAAAAAAAAAGAATCACATACTTCCATGTGATTTTTAACTTTAGCAAGAAAACAAACTCGCCTCGATCGTAGGACCGGGTAACAATCGGTTGATCACCATAACGACCTTTTCCTTGCCATCAGCAGGTATGCAGTGGGGTCTCGAGCAATCGGTCACGTTGTAAGGACAGTTGTAGCATGCCCTGCTCATTGTACTGTACAGCTCGATGGTGAATCGGTAATGGCAGGTCAGGAACACTCCATCAACGCACTTGCGTTTACACGGGTGCTGCGACCAATCGATCAGATCGCTACTGTTCACATTTATGCCTGGTGGTTGTAACACTAGAGGAGCTACAACTTACGAGAAAATTATAAAATTAAAAAATCACATAGATAACCCACGATGCCGATCACTTTAGGAAGAGCAAAATTCATTGTCACCTTGAAAATATGCAGACACACCGAGAATGCACAACGAGAGATTTAAAACTATTAAAAGCGCAACGAATAATCCGTGCAGCATTTTGCTTGTGACTTGGTTTTACAGATTAAAAAAGACTCGGCCGATGTGACGGTAAAAGCTCTTTTTTTACGAGTGCAAGGAACTTTCTTATCTAGTGAAGAATCAATTGGGAAAGGAGCATGTAAACGCAAGTTAAGCAATACGAGCTTTGAGAACAAATCGACACATTGCTGCATTATATGATGCACGTGCTTTCGAAATCGCATGATTGGCAATTATCTCTTAATGCAAACTCTTTTGCTTTCAATGAGTTGTACTTGTTGATCATAAGCAAGCGCGGGCATGTGTGAGCTGTGCTCCATTGACGTAATAAATTTTTTTTGCCTGCGAGAAAGGTGTGCACCTATATTATGTATGTGGACTACGTAACGATACAGTTTAAACTTATTGTTATCAAATCGTGCTTGGCTGTACAATTCCTTATTTCAATGCAATCTATTAAATTTATTGATATTTTCTCAAGTAGTTTGAAACAACACTAACAAAACCGGTAAGTAAAGTGATCCTGTCAAAGTTCTGTTACTTATTTCATTTCAACTTTTGCTGTAACCGTCTTTTACGATAGCTTTTTTCTTTACTTTCGATTTTTTCGATATAAAAACTTTTATTGCTTCCTTGAAAACTCGTGTACGTGACAAACGTTCTAACTTTCTCAGATGTTGTTATTCTGTTATTTTGTTAACGATCGTCACTACATTTTCCTAAGAATAAGTCGTACAATCTATTGCGCCAATTAACAACTCTTTTTTATGTACTTCATATTTGAGTTAAAAATGGTTCTAATTCTTAGAAGAAATATAAATGACGTAATTTTCAGCTTCATACATACTCTACTACAGTTGATAATGGTAATAAAAAACAAGGTTTCTATGATTATTATAATGTGAAACCGTTGAGTGAGTTTTAAAATTATAGGAAATAAAAAAACTATTCGGCTACGAATATTCTTAACACATAGGTTTTAAATAATTACTATTTTACCATTGAATTTCATGTGATTCTCTCTTAAAAAGAAAATGTATAGATAACTGTATTACTTATCAGATAGTCCTAATCAATTAAATCAAAATCCAATCATCCATACTTTTTTAATTTAATATTCATTAACATTCTTCAAATTTATTATACAACCCGTAAATCTTAATTTTAAATAGTATACCCATCAAAAATTAAAAATAATTATTTTTGATAATTGAGTTACGTAACTACGTAATTTGTTTTTAATTTATTTTTTAACTTTTCAAGCAAACATGTACGTATGTATAATGTTTAATTATTATTTTTGTTGACAGTTTGGTTCGGTTTATTTAGTGTATGTTTATATGTTGATGGTTCTGTCATTTTTACTTTAATGGCTGTATTTTATGTAAAACGTCGTACAAATTGAGTACTTGCACTATGATATTTAAAAATTTTAATCATGAATTTCTAGCTTTAGAGCTACAAAGTTTAAGGCTTAAACTTTTAAATTTATTATATTTGGGTGGCTCTGCGATTAACGTACGTATAATATTATTTTATTTCATATAATATATTATTTTTTATTTCAGAGTATTCCTATGCATTATTCTGCTATCTGCATTCAGTATAGTGGGATTCCAAAAGGTCACGTGACTCTCACGATATATAGATATAGTCAATTGGGGGAGAAATAAGGCAGGTCTTATGAGTGCGATTCTATTTTAATTTTTTTCAAACGTTCAACATTTGCAATAAAATAAAAGCCTTTGAATAACATGTTTTTGAGGAGATGACAATACCTAGGCTTTTTTTCCCAACTTAATTAGTCTTTTGCAGCTTAAAACTTTTCTTTGAAAGTGCAAAAACGCACATTGAACCTAACAAAACCCTACTTTTTCCCAGTATACTGAGACGGTATCGAATTCGGTACTAATTTTGCAAGAACCACTTCATGCTCAAGTCAAAAATCCTCCTAAAAGTAATAAAATATTTATCAGCAAATGTTAGCACGCATTTGAACTTTCAATTTTTAAGTCTGAATTGACACAATGTAATTCAATCCGAACAAAAAAAAACGTAATATTCATCAATTTTTATCGATTGTAGATCCTAAAATGTAATGAAAAAGATTGCTGCGGTGAATGGAGAAGTAGTTTAAGGGATGTTCTTCCTATGACTAACGGTTTTCTGCCTCCTCTATTTCCATTGCGCAAAAATCGTATCGAACGACTTGAAATCCTAACCCCGGATGATACAAAAGAAGAAGATAGCTTCTCTGATTTGTTTGTCAGATTAAGTATTGGTTTAAAACCCTCGATGACAACTGGTGTTTCTGTACCATATGATTATTACTGCCCTTCAGTTGTTGATGATATTAAAGGCAAGTTTTAATTATTCTCAAGTGTAATTATAATCTTTCAGCACTAGATCATACGATTTTTTTTTTATTTCAGGTAGGACATGTGATTCATGTGGATTATATTTTGCTTCAAAAAAACAAAAAAACTTGCACACCAAAGAAATTCATGGAAAAGTCAATAATCAAAAGCTACGTGCAAAAAAAATTTTAGCAAAAAGAGAAACAGAATTACTTTGTGAGCTTGATACTGTTGAGCCAATAATAAAGTGGCTCGAAGAAGAAGACGTAGAAATTAAATTTTCTGATCTCACAAATAATAATTTCACAGATGATATAGCTTCCTTTCCTGTCATCAGTGATATACACGAGTGGCTAGTAGCACCTTTTGAAAGTGCATGTGATGTAGAGTTAAAATTAAAGTTTTATTTAATAATCAATTTAATTAATAACTCAATTTTTATTTTTATTTGAAAAAAAAAATTTTTAATATAAAACGTTACGTAACATTTACTGAGGGAGGGGGGGGGTCAGGCCAAACATGACGGTAAGTTATGTGAGGGTGGGGGGGTCAAAAAAGGCCAGAAACAGCGTTACGTAGTTTATGGATGGCCCCCATTTTGGAAATTGAGAAAAGGGCCAGTATGAAGAATATCGAGTACTTGTTCGAAAAGTGCCAGCGTCTTTAGATTTGCCCCTTATTATAAAATGTTGAAGATATATCAACATTCGCTTGTATACCTATTAGTCGTATGAAATTTTTTTGTACTCTTATAGTGTACAACCGTATGTACCTTACCACATTAATCAAC